CGGACAGAACCCTGTGTCTACAATGAGGCGGCAGGGGGCGCGTCGAGGTGGCCGCACCACCCCTTCTTAGCAGCAGGCCGGCCCCGAGCGCATGCGGCTCCCACCTGCATGCACGAATGCAAGCGCATGCATGCACTGGGATACATGCTACCCGCTGCCGGCCCCATGCGAGCCCGGGTCCGAGCCGCCCCCGCACTCATGCCCGTGCCCCGGCGCACCAGCGCCACCGCCAGGGAGCTGTAGCCCGTGTACACCCCGACCTCGACGCAGCGCCGCGCCCCGGTCAGCTCAGCGAGCAGCGCCATGAAGGCCCCCTGCTCAGGCGCCACCTGCATGTTGGCGCCCTGCATGCCGTTCGTCGCCTCCCGCAGTTCGCGGAGCACCTGGGGGCGGGGTCGCCGGGTGTGGTGAGGGGTTAGAACCGAAGCGCCAAGTGCTCGGGGATGCCGCTAGCTTGGCCGATTGTGCGATGGCCGCAGCTGTTCACACCCGTCCTTGCCGCCACTTGCACACTGCTCGATGCGCTCGCGCCCCCGAAGCTACACGCTGCTGGGCGTGCCGGCCACGCAAGCAAGACACGAAATTTGCGCCCCATGTGGCGCCGCCCCCACCTGCGGTTCCCTGGTGTGCTGCAGCAGGTATGTGTACAGCTGGTCGCTCATTTGGGTCGCGACGACGCGCTTCAGCACTGGGCCCGTGCCTTCGCTGGCAGGGGTGGCCCCGCTGCTGCCGCTGCTGTCGTCGCCGCTGCTGCTGCTGCTGCCGCCGCCGCCGCTGCTTATATTGCTGCTGTTGCTGCCGCTGCTGGCGCTGCTGGTGCTGGTCGAAGGGCGATCACTTGCTGTCGAGGCGCATACCGCCCCTGCCGACTGCCGCCCATGAGTACAGTATGGCGGCCGCTTGCGCACTGCCACCACTGCGGGTCGTTCCAGTGTTGGGGGAGCGGCGAGGCCAGAGAGCCGTGCGCGCCATCTTGCAATGCGACACAGTTTTTGGCTGATCATATGGCCCGCTGGCAGCTGTGGAGTGCCGTGGATCAGCTTTCGACAAGCGCGAGGACGCTGTGGACGCAGAGTTGGAGCTTCGCCCTAGCAACCAGTGTAATCATATCGTTTACTATGAATCAAAGCAATTGAAATATACATCAACACTTGATCGCTACAAACACCCGCAACTTGTCACAAGCCATCAGAGGAGCCTGTGGGCAAGCACATTGTACACAAAATCCTGATTGGAATCAAGTTTAATTATGCAGCTGGCCCGTGGTGGGCCCTCGGCCCGAACATCTTTAGCATGCCGCGCCCTCGGGGTCCCCATGTGCCTGGGAAGGCCCATACGGATGAACGGAAGATGCAGTAGGACCACCGCAGCAGCAGGTGAGGGTCCCGCGGTCTGGCCGTCGGAGCGCGGCGGGAAACGGTACGCACTGTGCCGGTGGTGGTGATGCAGGCCGCAGAGTAAGGGCGCCGAAACTTGATTGCATGCAGTCACACAGCCTTCCAACGCTCTGCACAGGCGGGAGGCCTCAAGACCGAGGCATGGTGGTAACCAGTGCCCCTGACGTAGCTCTGGCGCCGTCGCCTGAGCCCGAGCCCCTGCGCGTCGACTCTGGCCGTGGTGCGAGCACCAGCGGCAACGGCGGCAACGGCGGCGGCGGCGGCGGCCCCGGGAAGCAGCTGCAAAGCAATGTGCTTAAAGTGGCATGGCGAAAGCTGCTGCGGGAGCTATCGTCGTTGCCGCGTGCGATCGCACTCATGGCGGCGATCGCGACTCTGTCAGGCGTCGGCACCATCATCCCACAAAACAAGGTGATGCACGTGGACGCAGCGCTGCATGTACACCATATTGCGTTTTTTTCTCAGCAATCCTGCGCGCTCAGCGCTTGCATGTGTTCGTGTCCCATGTGCTGCTTGCGGGCTGGTGGGCAAGTGGCATTCGCTATGAAAGGCTGCGCCGCATCATCGGTCTGCCGTGCAAGTGGACCTTCGGGCCATCCTGTCTGACCTGGCTTCAGGTCACCAACCAGGGCTTTTGATGTTCTGCCGCTGCGCAGCTCCACTTACCTACGTTGATTGTTGGTAGTGCCACCAGCAACGTTTGGCACATGACTGCGTAACCATTCGTTGCCCCAAAACCCTCCAACACACACGCACACACACGCACACACCCGTACACCCTGGTCAGTCCCTGGATTACTACATGACATCATATCCCGACGGCCCCAGCAAGGTGCTAGGGTTCCTCTCGTACGATGTGCTGCTGGGGCTGCAGCTGGACCACGTGTACAGGTGGGCGCCTGGTCAGCCGGCATGTTGACTGAGTTTGACCGGCGAATCGACCCAGGGCGCCGCACGGCCGGTGTATGCGTGGATTGCACACAGTGCACCAGCTTCACAGTGCACCAGCTTGCAGGGGATACGACCAGGTGTTGGCGGGGTGACAGCCGTTGTGAATATCTCTGCGGATGGGCATCATCCTGACACACCGAGTACAGTCACAAAACGCAAGCGCAATCTGAGAGCGCCAGGGTGCCCTGCGCAATGCCCCCTGCCACACGCATACAGACACACACACACACACACACACACACACACACACACACACATGCACGCACGCACTCGAAACACACACACTTTGCCCACTCTCGTGCACACCCACTCACACACGCTCACGCAATATCCCAACCCCCAACCCAGCGCCTGGTACTTCTACGGCCTCATGGCCCTGCTGGGGGCCAGCCTCATCGCCTGCACCGCGACAACACAGTGGCCGGCCGTCAAGGTGCGACCCCGGCACCCACCCACCCCCTGCCTCGCTGCCTGCTGCCCGGGCTCAGCCCTCCCCTTTGCCCCGCCTCCCTGCGTCCCAGAGCTGCATATTTTGAATCTCAGGCCGCCCATGGCCGCTGTTATGATCTGATGGCAGGGCTGAACCTCCTGTACCCCCCCCCCTCGGGTGGCCCTGCCCCGCAGGTCGCACAGCGGTGGCGCTTCGCGTCAGATGCGAAGGGCGTGCAGCGCTTCGCAGGCACACCGGCCCAGGTGCTGCCCGCGGCGCGCGTGTCGGACCTCGGGGCAGGTCTGTCTGCCAAGGGCTACCAGGTGTTCCGCAACGGCCCCCAGCTGTACGCGTTCAAGGGCCTCGCCGGGCGCCTCGGCCCCATCGGCGTGCACGCCGCGCTGATCGTGTCGCTGATCGGCACCGCCTACAGCGGCTTCGGCGGCTGGAAGGGCTCGGCGATGGTGCCCGAGGGGCGCGAGTTTCTGGTGGCGGCGGCGATCAGCCCGACGAGCGCGATATCGCGGCTGCCGGAGGGCGCCAAGGGCGTTCTGCGCGTCAACGGGTTCAGGATCGAGACGCGGCCGGACGGCAGCGTTGCGCAGTTTTACAGCGACCTGAGCATCAGGGACGCGGACACCGACCAGGAGCTGCTGCGGAAGACCATCAGCGTCAACGACCCCTTCAGGTGCGGGCGATGGCGTTGGGGCCCGGGTTTGTGGTCGTCGCTGCGTCACCAGCGTCCGACGGTTCTTGGGGCTCTCGTTTTTTGCTGATTTGCCAACTACTGGCATGCCGTCCGTGCGAGGACGATCTTGGCGGGTGTGGGACTGCATGCGTGCTTGTATGACGCATGAGAAAGCCGCAATGCAGGGAGCTGGCCGCATCAACATCACTCGGGGCCCCTCCCAAACCCTGTGCCCAGAGCGAATTCCCCCCTCTTGGCGGCCGCGGTGCCCCGCACTTCCACGTCACCACTCAACACCCTCAACCAAGACTCCGACGCTTTCATAACCTGCACATTTTCCGGCACGCCGTCGTCCCCTCACCCCGCCATCCCACCGCCTGAACACCTGTAATCGGCCCAAGGTATGGCGGCGTCACGATGTACCAGACCGACTGGAGCCTCGCCGCGGTCACCATCCGCGTCCCCGGCGCCGACGTGCGCCAGAAGGCCCCCAACCCCCTGGACGGCGCCCCCGGCGCTGCAGCCGCCGCGGCCGGGCCGTCGTACGTGGAGCAGGGGCGGCCGTTCAGCCTGCCGCTGGCGTCGCTGGCGGGCACGGCGGGGACGCCGCAGAACGCGAAGATCTGGGCGACGTTCCTGCCGATTGAGGCGAGCCCAGCGAACGGCCGGCCGCCGCGCGGCATCTCAAGTGAGAGCGGCACCCTGAAGCAGGGGGGGGGGTAGCAGGGGTGTTTCAGAGGAACTGCCGGGCGCACATATGCGCGGATGCCGCTGGGAGTGGGCGTTCTCCTTGCAGCGCCGGTCATTGTCCCCCTCGGAAGCGTTGCTCGCCCCTGAACGTCCGCCCGAGTATCGTGAGTTCGGTCGCAACGTCCAACAACCTGCGTGCTATCCTATCAACGTGTAACATGGTGCTGGCTATTTTGCGCTGCTTTGCACGTCGCCACCTCAGCTCACGCGACCCCCGCCTCCCACGACCCCGAACCCCACCACCCACGTGCAGTCATCGCCCGCGACCTGGACACCGTCACCCTGTACGACTCCTCCGGCGCCTTCGCCGGCGTCCGCCGCCCCGGCAGCGGCAAGCCCATCACCGTCGACGGCGTGACGCTGATCGTGGACGCCATAGTCGGCTCAACCGGCCTGGAGATCAAGGCAGACCCGGGGGTCCCCCTGGTCTACGCCGGGTTCGGGGCGGTCATGATCACCACCCTCGTGTCATACGTCAGCCACAGCCAGGTGTGGGGGCTGCAGGACGGGGCCAACGTGGTGGTGGCGGGGCGCAGCAACAGGAGCAAGTACCTGTTTGAGAAGGAACTCGACGAGGTGCTGGACGGCGTGCCAGAGGCGCTGCCGCCGCGGGCGTGAGAGGCGCCGACGCCAGGGCCGGGCGCGCCGCGCGGCCGCGTTGGCGCGTTGGCCGGAGTCCCGTGCGGAAGCAGTGTCAAGGCCGCGGCTGCAGCGGGCCTGCGTGGCCGGGACAGCGTCACTGAGGCATCAGGAGCAGGTTTCGCCTGTGTTCATCCCTGTTGTTGTTTGAGTGCATCTGGGCTGATCTTCCGGTTGCGCTTGTACATCTGCTATTGCATGCCCCAAATTACACTTGCTGGTTGTTGTCAGTTTCACTGTCTCTCTTGGCCTTTGCTCTTGGCCCAGGAAGGTGTAAGAAGCAGCTCGCAAGGTCACCAACCCAAGGCCTAGTGATGCGGTGATTTTTGTTTGAGCCCTTTTTCCTATTGGCAGCATTCACAACCCAAATCATGTTTGTAAATAGCTCTCAGTGCTTGACACCCGTGTGCGCGGCGCGCAAACTACTGTTTGACAGTGCAGCCAGAGTAAGCGGCTGGTGACTACAGTGGTGACAAGTTTTTCGCACTACTCATGCACAATCTGGCTGCCGCCGCACCACTCCCTCGTCGTCAGCACGCTGCCACCACTGCTCTGTGCCGCAGCACACCGTTCGGCCGCCCACACCGTCCATTCTCATCCATTGCGTGTCCCCCTCCTGCCATTACCACCTCTCCCTCCCCCTCATTTTTGGTGGATGCCTGGGCCACGCAGATCCAAGACCTGCCCCAGGCTCTCAAAACGGTCCTCATCACCCGGCATGAGCGGGTGAAAGTTGACGAGGAACGGCGGCCGCCGCTCGTCGTCGCTTCGGACAGAGTCGCGCAGCCGCTGCAGCGCCGAGGTGTGGCGGACGGCGGCCGCGGCCGGCGGTTGGGGGCCCTGCCGGCCGCGGCAGCTGCTCGCTGTGGCGCCTGCGCCACTGGCGCCACTCGCGCAGGCGTCGGGCCTGCCCTTCAGCCACTCATCAAACGGCTGCCGCCGCGGCTGGACGGCGGTTCCCTGCGGCTCCTGCCGCAGGGACGCTGCCAGCAGGATGCCGCCGCTGTGAGAGTTGAACCTTGAGGCGGCCTCGAACGTGCCCCGCACGCCACTGGTGCAGGTCGACCCCAAGCTCGCATTAATCCGCGCCTCTGGTGCTGCCGCCTCTTGCGGGGGCAACACACCGCTGTGGGTCACTGCCCTGACGCCCCGCGCCGTCCTTATGAAGCAGGCCCCTCCACAACTGCTGCTGCCATTCCCGCATTCCGCGGCGGCGGGCCCTTCTGCGGCCACCGCAGTGCTGCGTGCGGCCGCTGTCCGCGCCATCACCGCCGCCCACTCGCCGCCGGGCTGGCGTGGGACGCTGCCCGTGCATTGAGGGTTCCGAGCGGTGGGGCGGTTGGGGCCTGGCTTGGGGGCTGGGGGGAGGTCCTCCACGTCTGCCCATGCGCTGTAGGGAAACACCGCTCTCTGGGAGAGTTGATAGGGCGCGGGTTGGGGTGGTGCAATCAAGGGGCGCGACCCTGTACAAGCAAAGCAGCGTCTTGAAGTGAGAGAGCAGCCGGGCTGCCGGATGTAGTCGTGACAAGAGATGAAGTTTCTCAACTCTGATATGAGATCGCCTTGACCATTTAGCAGCAGCAGCAGCAGCAGCAGCAGCAGCAGCAGCGGCAGCAGCAGCAGCAGCAGCAGCAGCAGCAGCGGCAGCAGCAGCAGCAGCAGCAGCAGCAGCAGCAGCAGCAGCAGCAGCAGCAGCGGCAACTCCAACAGCAGCAGCGGCGACAGCATGCACATGCTGCGGCGCGAAGCTTTACATGCAGCAGCTGCAGCAATCCATAAGCCACAGCAACACGCCAGCGCCCACCTTGCGGTTGACGGCTAGCTGCTCCTCGGTGACAGGCTCAGTGTCTACGTCTAGAAGCCGCAGGCAAGCCACCCCCAGCAGCAGTGACACCAGCTCGCGCCACTGCCGCGTGAAGCGCCGCTTGGGGTAGCGGCCTGGCGGGGCATGGGGGCGGGCAGCACAGCCCTGGGAGCACGGCCTCAGGCCGACGCAAAAGAATAGCGCAGGAGAAAAGAACAAGGCACTTGTGTTGCAACAAACACGCAGCAGCTGCAGAAGGCACCGTCACAATGCTCCGTCGATCCACGCTCGCGGACCGTGTCGACTGCGCAGCATCGCCGCTTTGCGGACTGGTCTGCGCGCAGGCGGCCGAGGTGCGCGTGCAGGCAGCACAGCAATAGCCGCACCCTCCACAGCGGCCACAAAGGCACTGGGTGCGAGGCTGCCCTCCCTCCTGAAGTCGGCCTCATCAAACATCTGCGCCAGCAACCCTCGGTCAAACACGAGGTGGTGGGACTGCAGGTATGCGTCGACGCTGGCCCGGGTGATGCGGCCAGACTGTGGGTCGCCGACCTGGGAGGGCGGAATTTGTAGGTGTGCGGGCCAAGCGGCGGGGCAAGAGCGCGAGTGCGTTGCCAGTACACGAGGGCATTGCGCAGCGGGCAGTGCGTGGCCAAGGGTCCCTGACACTGAAGCGAAAGGGCTTGCTGACCTGCAGCTGAAGCGCGACAAATGTGAGACTGTCTTACCTTGCCAATGACGGCCGGCGCCACCTGCGTCTGCAGGACAAGCGCACACTCAGGTGCGTCGCGCTGCGCCTGTGCCATTGCGCTCCCCGCCCTGTCAGAGGAATCTGTAGGGCTGCTCGTTTGTTCACTCTATACTCGCAACACAAACCTTCGAGTCACAATAGAACGGTATTCATACATCCTCTCTGGAGATAGCCGAGTTTTGCGCGAGCGGTTTCACGAAACTTTCTCGCACACGGCGGCTGCGAGTGAGAGCATTCTAACATACTGAACGAATTTCGATGTTTAAATATCATCACCAACAATGGCTACACAAACATCAATTGGGAGCCTTTGGCATGTGCTAAGTGACATGTGACAATCCCTTGGCTCACTTGCCATTGTGCTGCTGCGCGCCGCTAGCTGCGGCTGCCCCGCAGCGCTTTGCTGTGGCGGTGTGCTGCCTGCTGTGGTTGTGTGCTCCTGCAGCCACCAGCCTGTGTGTTACACCGCTATCTTGACCCGGCACGCGCCTGCGCCCGCCCCCCCCCCCCCAAAAAGGAACATGCTGTGCCAAGCCTGCGTGCGCTCCTGCACCGCCCTGGCGCGACTGCGCAGCTGCCGGCAAGGGATCTGTGCCTACGGGCTGGCCGGGGCCCAGCTTCGCAGTGCCCTACCAGTGCTATATCCGGGCCGCTCGCGGTAATATGCAGAGGCCCCTTATTTGTTCGCCAGTTACTTGTGCACCATGAATGTGCATTATGAATGCTCAGATTACAGAAGTCCTAATCCTCGTGTTTGCATGGCTTCAGCAATCATAAACATAAACTGAACTAACCACGCACACACAGATCACAGGGACAGCCCAGTTGGGCCATGGAGCCGCTTTGGGACATTCATACGTTGAGGATTGCCACTGGAATATATGGGGACTAGGCTCAGGCCTCAAACGCCAATGAGCCAAGTGGTTGAGGGTGGTGTCATTGGGATGGGGCGAGTAGGACCGTGCCAGGCATGCCCCTGCAACCCTGCAGGCGATACGCCGATGCGCCTGCGCAGAACATAACAACGCGCACAAGGGTGCGCAACAGCAGCGCAATTTTGCAGATTGCAGGTGGATACCAAGGCGCACATCACGTTGGGTTCGGCGCACTGAGATGCCAGGCCTGGAAGCACCCAGGCCCGCGTGCGTATCAGCTGCGGCGAAACAACATCACATCAGGCACCTCCCTTGGCGGCGCAGGATGGCAGGGCGTCTGTACTGTGCAGCGACCGAGACGGGGCGTCTCCACACCGTCACATACGAAAGAGTCTCGGGATAAGGCCCCTCAAAGGTGCACACCACACTACGCACTCAGCTGCGATACAGAGGATGCCAGCACGCAGCAGCGCCACCGCCGGCAGTAAGTAGCTGCACTTGCAGGCAGCGTTGCTTTGGATTCGGCGACAGCTGCGCAGGGGCCGCGAGCTGCGAGGAGCGCAGCGGCGACCAGTGCGCTCACTCCGGGGTGCAGGTGCCCTCGTTTGCGCCGTTGAAGGGCGCGACCGTGGCGCTGGCGCAGCGGTCGCCCAGAGACAGCACCACGCCGCTGTGAGCGGGACAGGCGCGATGCGGGGGAGCACGTGATAAAGTGTGTCGGAGGGGTCGGGCCAAGGGGACCGGCAGACCTCAAAGCCTGGGTCGGGCGCTGCGCAGGGCAGCGGTCAATGGGGTTGTCGCCCTTCCGCCTCCTGTACGGACTGATCAGCGGCGCGCCGCTGCGCCACCGCAGGCTGCTCCGACCCGTGCTGCCTGCGCCTTGCTTGCTCCACATAGACTTCCCCCCACCTGCCTGTACCACAACCCCCGTCAGCCCAGGCCACGCATTGCTGGACCCTTCACGTCTCAAAAGATCAAGTACTGTGCAAAAACCGGCATTCCAAGCCCACCTGACCACGCCAGTCCAGTCATTGGGCTGGGACCGCGCCGGCAGCGGGATGTTCCACTTGCAGACCACCCTCGCGCCGGCCGGCACGTCCATGGAGGGGCAGACGGCCTCCACCCTTATGTGCTCCGCCAGGCGCCTGCACAGCCGCACGCCGACGCGCTCAAAGGACAGCGTGAAGGGGCCCTTGTTAGTCACCACGACGGTGCCGTTGATACCCTCAGGCACGAGGCGCTTCGCGCCCGGCGGCGGGAAGACCGCCTTGCCGGGCCGCGTGACCGCAGACACAGTGGCGCAGCCCGAATCCGCGAACGAGGACGGCCGTGCGGCGGGCCCTGTCGGCAGGCCAGCGGCGGCGGGCGCGGCGCTGGCGTTGGCAGGTGCGGGCTGCACCACGGGAAGGAGGCCGGCCAGCCCAACGGCGCCGCGCGCAGCCGCCGCGGTTGGGGCGGCGCCTGCCGCGCTGGGGGCCGCGGACCCCTGCCTCAGCGGGAGGAGCTGCGGCAGCACGCCCTTGGGGGCGGCCGGGACGCCGGCCGGCACCACGGCCGGCGTCCCTGGCGCCACGCCCTGGGGCAGGGCCAGGCCCTTCGCAGGCCCCGCTATGGCGGGCTGCAGCTGCGCGTGCATCATCAGCCGCCGGCCGAGGTCTGCCGCGGCGTCGGGGGCGGCGGTGCCGGTCTGCTGGATCCTCAGCTGCTGGATCTGCCCGTTGAGCTGCAGCAGCTCCGCCGCCTGCTGCGCCTGCAGCTGCTGCAGCTGCCCGTCGAGCGCCGCGCGCTGCGTCGCCTGCTGCACCTCCAGCTGCGCCTTCTGCCCCGTCAGCGCGGCGAGCTGCGAGGTCTGCTGCTTGATCATGGCGGCCTCCTGCTGCTTGAACGCGGCCACCTGCTTGGGGCTGAGCCCCGGCGCCGCGCGCTGGGCGGCAAGTTTTTGCTGTTGTGCCTTGTTGAACGCCTTGAGGGACGCAATCTGGTTGGAAAGGTACTTGAGCTGCATCTGCTGCTGCGCGTCGAGGGCGGCCTTCTGCTTGGCCATCGCCTGCAGGTCGCTCGCCTGCTCCTGCTTCAGGGTCGTGAGCTGGTCCATCAGGGATTTCATGTCTGGCGCCGCCGCCCCCGCGGCCGCCGCGGGCGCCGCGGCCGCGCCGGGCGGAGCCGTCTCCGGAGGTACGGCCTGAGCCTTGGTCGCCGCCGCCGGCGCCGCCGCCGCGCCGGGCGGCGCGGAGG